TTATTATCAAATATTAAATAAAAAAATCATCATTTAACCCTAAAGCCATATTTAAACGTGATAACAACGTTCGTTTTTTTTATTATTTTTCGTCTGCTACAAACATTTTTTTTTTTTTGTTAATGCGTTTATATATATTTAAAAAAAAAAACTTTCACTCCCTTTGGCAGATGCCACCATTATTATCAATAATTTAAAATGATATTATTTAATACCGTAAAAAAAAAAAAAAACGTTACGTAATATTCGTCAAAATCATTAATGATTTAATTAATTTAATTTTTTTTTCGAAGGGAGGAAAATGGCGGAGTGAGTGAGTGAGAGAGAGAGAGAGAGAGAGAGAGGGGGGGGAGGAGAGGAAGGTTTCGTGCGCGGCAGGAAGCGAGAAAAAAAAAATTAAGAAAAATGATTTTCGTTGTTGTTGTTGTTGCGATGACGTTATGTCATTTAAAGTTTGTTGATGATGATGATGATGATGATGAGAGCGGTTTTTTTTCCGAAGGGTGAGGGATAGAAGGAGGGTGAGGGTGACGTAGTTTATTACGTAATTTTTTTTCGCACAAAAAATAAAAAATTACAACGATTTATTTCCTTCTTTAATAAAAAAATTTTTCATTTTCACATTGACCGGGTTGACGAAACGTTAAATTTTTACGTAAAGGAAACAAACGAACAACCAAACAAACGAAAACTCGGTCGCGATTGTTTGCCCTTCGAACCTTTTTTTTTTTTTCTCCAGTTTTGTTTGTTTGTCCAAAAATTAATTTTTTTTTTTTTTTTTCACTTTACGTAATTTTTTTTTACGTAATTCGAACGCGAAATGCAATTTTATTTGTTATCACCTGGAAAATTTTGTTTGTGATAACAACAATTCGGGGGGGGCGGGGCGGGGGGAAGGTGTTAAAATATACAAAAAAAATTTTTTAAATGTCATTCACCTCATTCATTTCTGCCGACCACAAAAATTTTATTAAATTAGGTTAAAAAGAAAATTCCAATTTGATTTCGTTACGCTTCGTGAATAAATTTAAAAAAAATTATTTTATAGCGCTATAAATGATAACTAAAAATTGTGTTTTTTTCGGGGGGCAAGGGGGGTCGATTTGTAGTCCTATAAAAAAATTAACGAATTTTTGTCTCTCTCGCTCCCTCCCCGATTGAAATTAAAAAAAAAATTAATTGGGGAAAAATTTAACGTGTCAGATGTTAAATGATTATTTCCACGTGGTTTTAAATTATTTTTAACGTGGAAGGAAAAAAAAAAATAAAATTTTACGATATACGCGAGCGTGTACGGTTCGTTATGAAAAATAACAAAATATTTATTACGTAATATTGTCTAGAATATTCCAGAACGAGTTTTTTTTTTTTTTTTTTTATTTTTTTTTGGATAAAAAGATTTTTAATTTTGATTAAGTTTTGATAAATGAAATAATCCGAGAGGAGAGAAACGATGAGGGGGAGGGAAGGGGGATAAGAGGGAAAATTCAATGTGTTATTAACGTTCCCCCTTTTTTATTTAAAAAAAAAAAAAAAAACGAGTTTAATTATTAATTTTCTTTTTTTTTTATTTCGATTGGTTATAAATAATAATAATAATAATTCGATATAAAATAAATCACCGGCGGCCATTTTGTTTTTTTTTATTAAAATTTTTCGAATAAAAAAGAAAAAAAAAATAAATTACGTGAAAATAATAGAGGAAAAGTTGTGGGGAAAATATTGGAAAATTATTTTTTCCCGTTTCCGTTTCCTATTTTTTTTTGGCGCGAGTTTTAAATATTTTCGAAATTTTTTTAAAAATAATTTTGTAACGTTTATTATTATTATTATAATTATTTTCGTTAGATTTTATCAAGCGAGAAAAAAAAATGAGAAAGAGAGAGAGAGAGAGAGAGAGAGAGAGAGAGAAAGAAAGACGGAGAGGGAGAGAGAGAGAAAGATTAATATAAAATAAAAAACTTTTAAATTTCATTTTCATTTTACTTTTAATCAATGATGGGGAAAGGTCGTGACCTTTTTTTTTTTCAACTCCATGACTTTACCCAATTATTATAGTAAAAAAAAAAATGGATCGATGAAATTTTAATTCCCATTTTTTTTTTAAGGATATTAAAAAAAAATCCTGGAAACGAAGTTGAATCCATTGAAATCCCGACGGATGATGAAGTCAAAAAAAAAAAATTTTTTTTTTTTTTTAATAAATTTGTTGTAATTTTTGACACCTTAATAATAATAATTATTATTATTTTATATTAATATTTGGGTAGGTAAGTAATTAATTGAAAAAAATAATTAATTACTCACCTTTCGAAATGAAATTAACTTAAAAATTATTTATTACCCGAAATTTTTTATTAAAAAAAAAAAATTTTTTTTTAACGATGAGATTTTTAAATAATTCTAAATAATTACGAAATTCATTTTTCCCGACCGTCAACCTCAACAAATACCAAAAAATGTGAGAGAGAGAGAGAGAGAAAGAGAGAGGGAGATGGAG